TCACCTACAGGGGGTGGTACCGGTGGGCGTGGTCACCGGGGCCGCCCGGGTGGGGCTGAGGGGGCGTGGCCTGGGAGGAAATAATTGGGAATTCGGGGTGGGGGGGAAAAAAAACGGCGGGAAAAGGAAAAAGATGGCGGGGAAAGGGGAAGCAAGATGGCGGAAGAAGGGGGAACAAGATGGCGAAAGAAGGAGAGAAAATGGCGGGAAAAAATGGGGGAGATTTGGGGAAAAAATGGGGAAAAATGGGGGGAAATGGGAAAAAAGGCGGGAAAAAGGAAAAACAAAATGGCGGAAGAAGGGGAAACAAGATGGTGGAAGAAGGAGAGAAAATGGCGGGAAAAAACGGGGGAAATTTGGGGAAAATGGTGGAAAATGGGAAAAATGGGGGAAGATGGGGAAAAAATGGGGAAAAAATGGGGAAAAAATGGGGGGAAATGGGAAAAAAAGGCGGGAAAAAGGAAAAACAAAATGGCGGAAGAAGGGGAAACAAGATGGCGGAAAAAGGGGAAACAAAATGGCGGAAAAAGGGAAAAATATGAATAAATTGGAATAAAATGGTGGGAAACGGGAAAAATGAGGGAAAATGGGGAAAATTTGGAATAAAATGGGGGGAAATGGGGAAAAAAATGGAGAAAAATGGTGAAAATTGGGGAATAAAATGGCGGGAAAAGGGAAAAACAAAATGGCGGGAAAAGGGAAAAAATCATGGTGGAAAAAATGGGGGAAAATGGGGAAAATTTGGGAAAAAATGGGGGAAAATGGGGAAAAATTTGAAAAAAGCGATGGAAAATGGGAAAAATAATAAAAATTGAGGGACAAAACGATGAAAAATTGGAAAAAGATGGGAAAAAAATGGGGGAAATTTGAAAAATTGGTGGAAAATGGGAAAAATGGGGAAAAATTGTGGAAAACGGGAAAAAAATGGTAGAAATTTGGGTTAAAATTGGCAGAAAATGGGAAAAAATGGGGGAAAATGGTAAAAAATGGGGGAAAATGAGGAAAAGGTGTTGGAAATTTATAATAAAATTGGGAAAAATGGGAAAAAAATGGAGGAATTTGGGAAATGGTAAAAAAATGGGATAAAAAATGGAATTTTTGGTGGGAAAATTTGGGGTGGGAAGGGAAAAGGGGCGGGGTTTGGTGGGAAAAGGGGTGGGGCTAAAGTGGGTGTGGCCAAGGTGCGGAAAACCCCCAAAAAGACCCCAAAATTTTGGAAAAAATCAGCAAAAAAATTCCATTTTTGGATTAAATTTGGGATTGGGTGAGGGGCGAATGGGCGTGGCCAATGGGTGGGTGTGGCTGGAGTGGGCGTGGCCTCGTGGTGGCTCCACCCCCATAATTTGATGCCAAAAAAACCCCAAATTTGGGTTTTTTTGAGGCTTTTTTCATCATTTTCCACAAGGGGGAGCCCCAGGAGAGGATTTTGGGTCGAATTCGGCAAATTCGGGGTTAAAAAGGAGAAGTCGGTGGGGGAGGGGCCAAAAATGGAAATTTCGGGGCCGTGGGAAAAACAAGATTTGGGGCAGAAACGGCAAATTCGGCCAAAATTTGGGTTTTTTGGTAGAAAATCGAGGTTTTTGGACCCAAAATCAGAGTTTTTGGACCCAAAATCGGGATTTTTTCAGAGCTAAAAATGAAGATTTTGTAACCCAAAACAGGTGAAAAATGCGAATTTTTGGCGGGAAATTCTGGGGGTTTCGGGGCGGAAAATTCAGGATTTGGGGGCGGAAAATTGAAGATTTTTTAGGCGGAAAAATGAGGATTTTGGGCGGAAAAAATGTGGATTTTAGTCTGGGAAAATGAGGATTTTTGGGTGGAAAAAAAGTGAATTTTGGAGTGTTAAAATGCAGATTTTTGGGCAGGAAAAAGAGAAGTTTTAGGTGGAAAAATTGGGATTTTGGGGCTTTAAAATCAGGATTTTGGGGTGGATTTTAAGGCAAAAATTGATGAATTTTGGGGTGAAAAAAGAGGATTTTTGGAGCTTAAAAAAGAAGATTTTTGGAGGCGATTTTGGGGTTGGAAAATGAGGATTTTTGGATAGAAAAAAAGTGAATTTTGGAGAGTTAAAATGCAGATTTTTTTGGGCAGAAAAAGGCGAAGTTTTAGGTGGAAAAATTGGGATTTGGGGGCTTTAAAACTGAGATTTTTTGGGGTGGATTTTAAGGCCCAAAAAACTTAAAAATTGAGGAATTTGGGGATGGAAAAATCGGGATTTTTAGAGCTTAAAAAAGAAGGTTTTTGGAGGAAAAATGCGGATTTTAAGGGTGGGAAAATGAAGATTTTTGGGTGGAAAAGCAGCGATTTTGGGGCTGAAAAATGCGGGATTTTGGAGCCCGGAAATGAAGAATTTTGGGGTTAAAAACTGCAGGAAAAACGAAGATTTTTAAGCAGGAAAATGAGGAATTTTGGGATGAAAAAAGGAGATTTTTGAGGAAGGAAAACAAGGATTTTTGGGTGGAAAAAAGCGAATTTTGGGGGGCGGAAAATGAAAGTTTTTACGCCAAAAATCCGATGATTTTTCCGTCAAAACCCGGGAATTTGGGATGGAAACGAGGTGAAAATTGGGATTTTTGGAGGAGTGAGGGGGAAAAATGGGAATTTTGGGGTTAAAAAGGGAATAAATGGTAAAAAATTGGATTTTTCCCCTAAAAATTGCGGAATTTTGCCGTGAAATGGTTGGAATTCTTGCCTTAAAATGGGGGATTTTGCCTCAAAATTGATTATTTTTAATAAAAACTTGGGAATTTTGCCTTAAAATTGATGATTTTTATTAAAAATGTGGAAATTGTGCCTTAAAATCGGAAGTTTTTATTAAAAACATTGAATTTGTGCCTTAAAATTGATGATTTTAGTTAAAAACGTGGAAATTGTGTCTAAAAATTGATGATTTTAATTAAAAATGCGGAAATTGTGTCTTAAAATTGATGATTTTAATTAAAAATGTGGAAATTGTGTCTTAAAATTCATGATTTTAATTAAAAACCCGGGAATTTTGTTTTAAAACTGATGATTTTAATTAGAAATGCGTGGATTTTGTCTTAAAATTGATGACTTTTATTAAAAATGTGAGAATTGTGTCTTAAAAATGGAGATTTTCATTAAAAACACGGGAATTTTGTCTTAAAATTGAGGATTTTAAATAAAAATGTGGGAATTTTGTCTTAAAATAGATGATTTTAATTAAAAATTTGGGAATTTTGGTCTTCAAACGCCGAATTTTGACCCAAAACTGTTGAATTTTACCTTAAAATAAAGAATTCACCTTTAAAAAATTGAATTTCGCCTCTGAATTTGTGATTTTTTCTCCTGAAAAAAAATCCCCATTTTTTATTCCCCCTCTCATTTTTCATTTTCTTTCCAAAAAATGTGAATTTTCCCCCCCAAAATCCGCATTTTTTACCCCCAAAATTCGCGATTTTTGCCGATTTTCCCTATTAAAAATCACATTTTTTTACCCAAAAAGTTCAAATTCCGCCCCAAATTCTCATTTTTTTCCCCTAAATCGGTTTTTTTTCCCCTAAATCAGATATTTTTACTCAAAAAATTCAAATTTCACCCCAAACCTGCGGCTTTCGCCACCCAAAAAATTCGGTTTTTTACCCAAAACCTTCGGGTTTTCCCCTAAAACGGGTGGAGGGGCCCAAAACTCGTATTTTTAACCCCAAAATTTGCATTTTTTCACCCACAAATTTGCATTTTTTCCGCCCAAAATTTGCATTTTCCCCCCTCAGCTCCGGCGCTTTTTGCCCAAAATCGCCTTTTTCCCCCTCAAAATTCAATTTTCTCCCTCGACCTGAATTTTTACCCCTTAAAACTTCGAATTTTCACCCCAAAATGGGATTTTTTTACCCAAAAATCCGATTTTTTCACTCCAAAATGAGAATTTCAATTTTTTTTGCCCAAAACCCGGTATTTTTTCCTCCTAAAAATGAATTTCCTTGCCCAAAAAATGAATTTTTTTGCCCTAAAATTCATATTTTCACCCTAAAATTCACGTTTTTGTCCCCAAAATTGACATTTTGATTTTTTCCGGCCCCAAACTCCAAAAATTCCTCTCAAATTCACTTTTTTCCCGCTAAAATTCACATTTTTTTCCCCCTCTAAAATGAGGATTTTTTACCCTAAAATTTAATTTTTCCGCTTAAAATCTCTTTTTCTCAAAACTGGGGATTTTTACCCCAAAATCCCCATTTTTTTTGCTTAAAATTCCCATTTTTTCCCAATTTTTACCCCCCAAAACCCCAAATTTTTGGCCCAAAATTTGATATTTTCCCCCCGAAATCCTCATCCTCCCAAAACCCCCAATTTTGACCCCAAAATCCTCATTTTTCGCCTCAAAATTCTCTTTTTTCACCCAAATTTTCACATTTCTCCCCCAAAATTTGCTTTCCCCTCCCCGAATTTCAACTTTAACCGAAAAACGCGATTTTTTTTTTCACCCCAAAACCCCCAAATTTGCCTAAAATCGCTTTTTTTAACCCCCAAAATTTGCATTTTTCGCCTCAAAATCGACCCCCAAAAAAACACCAAAAAATTTCGAGGTTGAAAAATAAAATTTTTCGCATTTTTCGCCCTCAAAATCGAATTTTTTTGCCTCAAAATTCGGCTCCAAAAGCCGGAAAATTCCAATTTTTGCCCCCCAAAATTCCCAATTTTTCCCTCCTCAAAATTCCCGATTTTTACCTCCAAAATTCACATTTTTAGCATCAAAAATTCCCTTTTTTTCCCCCCAAATTTTCGCTTTTTTCCCCAAAATTTTTCCCTTTTTTCCCCAAACTCCCAAATTTTCCCCTCCCAATTCCCCATTTTTTCACCCCAAAATTCCACAAATTCCACTCCAAATCCGCTTTTTTTTTTTACACAAAATCGCTTTTATTGCCCCAAAATTGGGATTTTTTACCCCGAATTCCTAAATTTGACCCCAAATTCCCGATTTTCCCCCAAAATTCCCCATTTTCCCCAATTTTTACCCCAAAATTTTCCAGTTTCTCCCCCAAAATTCCCAAATTTCTCCCCTCAAAAATTCCCAATTTCCCCCCAAAATTCCCCTCAAAATTCCCAAATTTTTGCCCCAAAAATCCCTAAATTTCCCCCCCAAAATTCCCGATTTTCCCCAAAAAAATTCCCAATTTTTGCCCCCCAAAAAATTCAATTTTTGCCCCAAAAACCCCAAGTTTTTGCCCCAAAATTCCCAAATTTCCCCCCCAAAAAATCCCCAATTTTTGCCCCCAAAAATCCCAAAATTTTTCCCCCCAAATTCCCAATTTTTTTCCCCCAAAAAATCCCGAATTTTGCCCCGAATTCCCCCCAAAAAATCCAAATTTTTTCCCCCAAATTCCCCAAATTTTCCACCCCAAAATCCCAAATTTTTCCCCCAAAGTCCCCCAAAATT